ATATATATATATATATATATATATATATATATATATATATATATATATATATATATGCCGTCTTAGAATATATTTTATTACACATATACATAAGCGCCCACACACACAAATGTACATTTACAAAAGATTTATAAGAAGAAAAAAACATACAGTATATACTACTATACGTTAATTCTCCACTCGTTTTTTTATCCTTAAAGTTACTCGAGATATAAGGCAGCGTTTGCTCAAGTATATACACATTTACACATTTGACGACCCAAATAGCACAGAGAATTCAAAAAGAATTCAGTCTTCTAGTTTTTCTTCACACACACACACACACACACACACACACAGTCAACTGTTTTATTTCAAACATTCTTCCTCGTATTGCGTTGTTCTTTCAATTCTGCCAGTCTTTTATCTTTCAATCGTTCAATTCCCTGCAGTCGCGACACTTGACGTTTTGATTTCTTTTTTAAAAATATGTTATCTTACTTGAGATCTTTAATTTTTACCTTATTTTCTGTTATAATCTTGATTTGTTCGTCAATGCGAAGTTCCTTTTCCTTTAAATCAGATGTCAAGTTAATGTAGTCTTTCTTCGCTTGATTGAGAAATTCTTAGTGTTTAAGGTGATAAAAATAACGCAAGAGGCGGTTTTTATAAAAAGAACATAGTTTTTAAATACCAAAAGAAATAGAAAGAATTGAATATAAAAGATTAAACTTTCGCTTTTTCGATACAACATCTGCGAGATAGAGACATACAATAGTCTTTATACATTTATTTTAATTTAATTAATACAAATTAAAATTATACAAATTTTTATAAGTTTAATTTATACAAAGTATAAAAAATGTATACACACTATACAATATACAGCAGCTCCTTTATAAGCAAACTAAGAAACGCAAGCGACTCTCAACAACTGACGCATACATATAAAATAAAAAAGGAAAACTTGTCGTATCGCTAGATTACAACTATTAACAGAAATTTCCTGAGCTTTATTATCTGTAAATTAATAGTAAAAATTAATATTGTTGTTTCAAAGTTGTAAACTATTGTCAACTATTGTCACGCATCAACAGCAGAAATTTTCAAAGGATGTTCTAAAGACATTCTAAGGACATTTATTCCTAAGAATGTTCCAGAACATTCTCTGAAGATTTTGTGCTATTTATTAACTATATAATTACCAACTCGATAATTCGCTCTTAATTTTTGAATATAATATATCTGTATTTCGTAGGTCTTGCTGTATCCTGGTGTGTGATACCAGATAAAAATCAATTTGATTAGGATTAGTAATTTCCGTGTCGACTATTGTTTCGGCTTTGACATTGAAATGCTCGTCGTCTGAATCTTCCTTACGCATAGAAAAAAATACGTACATGATGTCTTTTTTGGACAATCACAAAAGTAAGCAGAGGATTAAATTCGGGTCTTTCGCGTGAAAATTCTCTGCATACGTTTTTAATACTTTTAGTTTCTTTGTCCAAAACCATTGCGAATTGACCATCACTGTTTAGGTAATTATCTGTTCTCGTTTTCTTGGCATAAAACCTGATATGCTTTAACATTATTTATTTTTGAACACATACTTGTTCTCGTTAAATAACTTTTCGCTTAATATATCATTATGTACGTGTGTCACCGTTACGTAATTCCGCAAAATAACGCAGTTTTATCGAAAACGGCATCATTTTTTTACATAATCTTAAGAATAGTGATATGATTATATTTAGAGCTTTAAATGTTATATATATAAACGTTCTTAGGATTTGTGGTGCAATTGTATCAATTATTTGTTTTATTATATCCCTCTAAATAATGTAAAACTAGTAGTAAAAATTAACATTTCCAGTCAGAACCACACGTCATCATTCAAGGTTGATTCGATGTCGAGGGTTGAATCAACATTGATTCAACGGCTCATCGATCAATTCGATGTCGAATCGACCTTGAATCGACTTTAAGATTCTGACTGAGATTGTTGTTTCAAAGTCGTAAACTATTGTCAACTATTATTACGTATCAAGCGTAATGCTCTATCGGACAAATGCATGACTTTATGTTCATTTATATTTATACAGTACATAAGACATTTTGATAGCTTGACGTTTCTTACATACGTGTTTTTATCAGAAGGTTATCCGTTCACGTGTAACACACAATCAGTAGAAAAAGAAAGCGAAAAATATTTTTAAATATTTTTTTACTTAAAATATTGTTTTCAAATATAGTAAAGTAGAATATTTATTAATATTCTGGGGCGCTTATTAAATAACAAATATTTTGAGAGAAAATAACGTGAAAATATTAAAATAAAATATTAACACGAAAAGCTGTCAAAATGTCACTTCTATTTTAACACATTTCCGTTTGCCGGATGAATCAACAGTCATGAAAAACGATCAGCTAGGAATGGACACGGTTGGTCGAAACTTTCTAGTGACTATCGATCTGGTGAATGGTATAGCATCAATGCGTATATTACTCAAGCACTGATATGCAAAAAGAAGCTTTGATTTTTCCTTCTCATTTTTGTTTGCTTTTGTCAATGAAAAAAATATGCGTCCAACATTATTAACGTCAAAGATAGCTGATTAGTTCTTTATGAACTTTAAAACCAACGGCACGATGCTCGTTTTCGTGCTGGATTGCTTGCTAGATGGAAATACTCTGTTTTGATTTGTGTATTTTTATCTTCAGAAATGCACCAATCAGAACAGAGTATTTTCATCCAGCAAGTAAACCAATACGAAAACAAACATCGTGTGCCGTTGGGACTTGATTCTTGACGGTATGCGAATGAGATACGCATGCGAAAATCTACAGTATACGTAACGTGAACTATACATTTTCGCATGCGTATCTCATTCGCATACCGTCAAGAATCGAGCTCCTGACTTACGTAAGATTCAGGCCTAGGGTCCTATTCCATAACCACTTATCGACAATTGTCGGATCGGTAGTCGTGGTTGCGCAGCTTTTCTATAGTATAAAAAAGCTGCGCAACGACGTCTACCGATCCAACAATTGTCGGTAAGTGGTTACGGAATAGGGCCCCTGGAATATAATACGCCGTATGTCCGAGTTGAATGTCGGAACGTAGCCAATGGTCCAATGTGAGAATTTACTTTCCGAGAATGAGTTCTCCTCATTGGATCATCGGCTGCGTTCAGAGACATACGGCGTATTGTGTTCCAGGGGCTCGATTCTCTAACTAATTGCGTATATGTAAGTTTTACTGCGCAGGTTTAATCATATCATAAAATAGCTGCGTAGTAAAACTTACGTATACGCAACTAGTTCGAGAATCGAGCCCCAGGCCTTACTATCCTAGATTTAATAAGCAAACAAGCGCGACATCTAGGCCGGTATTCATAGTCAGATCTTATATTTAAGCCGTCTTAAGTTCATCTTTAGATACTGTACGGATTATTTCATTGGCTACGGAGTATCTGAAGATAAATTTAAGACGGTTTTAAATATAAGATCCGACTATGAATACCAGCCTTAGTGTTCTGTCATTAAAAAAGATTTCTACTTTGAAGCTAACGTTATGCCAGCGAATCGGTTATTGGAATTTCTCACTTTTTCTCCGTAAAAATTAGATTGCTGCACTTCATGAACGTTTTTTCTCATTACGAATATTACGAATAGAATATGATTATTTTCCGAAGATCTCTTTTCTATGTCATAATAAAATACCTTTTCATATGTTACAGCTCTCCGCGAGAGGTCTCGCCCCAGCGCCGACTGGAGGAACGGGAGGAACTCTTGAACTAGAGTATTTCTAGCTATCGCTGATCGCGTTCCTGCTGTCTCGCGCGGGCAATAGGCGAATCAACGAGCTACGAATCTCTTCCCTACTCGCGTGAGTTGGATTGGTTTGCTGTTTGCTGCGCGTCAGTCCGTCTTGAACTACTTAGGTAGCTGTTTGGTTTGTGTCAGAGTGTACAAGTTTTTCATCTGCATGTTCGGCGGATAGGCTTTTCTTCCTGGAAGTGCGTGTAAAAAGTGGGTCAGTGCTTTTTTCGTGTTAATATGTGGATTTAAACATGGAATCGGATTATACGTCTCAATCTAACACGGTGAGTGCCGACAATGTGATTGTCGATGATTGAAAGTGACGATGAAACCAGCGCCGCGACGCGCCCTGAAATTTTCGGGGTTACGTGACAGGCTGGAGGAGAAATGTTTTGTGCATATCGCGGCGAATCCCCGACCATCTGACCGACACAGTAAACGAAATTTGTCTGATAATCATGATTTTTTGGTAATACGCGACATAAATTGCATAAAAAGTCTTTCTGTTTCATACGTATTCTCAACGCTTCATTAGAATTTGATAAGATTATAATGAACATATATGATTTATCATACATATACCTTCATATATCTACAAATTTTTATATGTAGAAATTCTCCCTCTCCCTTTTTTCTCTGTTTTTTCTTTTTTCTGCCCTTTTCTGATAACTCAAACCATTACTTTTTTGTATTTATAATGAAATTTGATTGATGTTAACGCATGTAAAGTATTATAAAAATCATATTTTTTGTATAATCATATTTTTTGTACTTCTAGATATTATACAAATGAATACATACATATGTGCTACGTATTATGTATATATATATATATATATATATATATGTGTGTGTGTGTGTGTGTGTGTGTGTGTGTGTGTGTTCAGTATTATTTTCTGAAAAGTTAATCGAGGAAAGGAGAAATTATTCTCTTCACTCTGTGTATTCTTTTAGCTTATACAATTCATATAAATATTTTTATTTTTTAGATATATTCATGCTAAATATATACACTGTTATTGTCTAGATAAAGGTGAACGAGCTTTGAGAAAGTGAGTGAATATACAAAGTAAGACTTTAGATTTTTGAAAATGAAACCTTAGAGTCATTGTTATGTGTAATTGGAATCAGATATAATATTTAGTAAATAAATTGCAAGATATGATTAATTATCTACTATTCCAATTAATAGATATTGCTTTTAATTTTTAATAATATATATGTTATGTCTAATGTGAACAAGTTATTCTATATAATTACTGAATTGTAATTATATTACAATTGTCTTAAAATATAATATAATATAATATGAAAGCACATTAATCTATTTTCTTGTGAAAAATGTTTTAAATAATTTAACAGTTATAAATACAGAAAAACTTGCATTGATATCAGAGAATTCAACTCTGTTTGTTGTCAATAACTACACTCATAGATTTCTCTCTCAGATACATTTAAAAGTACCTCTCATTATCTTTCGTGCAATCTTTTGTAGTAATGCTATGAACAATATAACGAAATGTATCATTTGCACTTATTCATATCAATACATTATGAATGCAAGTTCCCATTCAATAACTAGTACAGTTTCTGTAATTTATAATCTATAATTTATTGTAATTACCTGTAATTTACAATCATGATGTTTACTCATATTTGCACGATATTAATTTGCTTTACATGACTTACGATGCTTTCATAAGTCATCCTTTACAGTATCGGTTTTTCATTAAAAAAAAAAAAGAAAAAGTAGTAGGCTGTAAAATTCCCTCTCATGTGGAAATAATTGATTTCCCATAGTCGGCGGTGTGCACGCGGGAAAGATCGCGTGTGAAATATCAAGCCGAAGACATGAGATATCATCAACAATGAAGTTTAAATCTTGATATATAATTTCGAAATGTCGATGATGTCATTATCTTATCTTTTCACGAAGGAATTTTCATCGATTAGTATCTTTGTTTTTAAATTGTTTTCTGAAAGTTTTATCGGTATGTATGGATCTGTATGTGTGTACGCGCGCGCATACACATATATACACAGATGCATTTATCTCCTGGGACGAATTTTCAAATGCGATATTAAATACTGACGTATGAAATTTAAAATCTAGACAATACGATTTATCGCGTTTAATGCTTTCTATCAAACTAATAAGCGAATTATCGAAAAACTCTGTTCTGAATCTCGACGTAAAAATATTAGCGCACATATATTGCCGTAGCGACTACCTTCTCCCTCGTGCATATCACACATTAGACGCGGAATATTTACACAGAGGCAGAATGCCATATGTTTGAAACGCAGAAGCGTATATAGGAGCATCACTATAAATACGAGTCGCTGTGTACATCCTCCTCTCCCCCAACCTGCACGTTACCGTGTGTTGCGCATTGAAACGTTATGTCGTAACGTTCCCAGCGAAAATTTTGTGCGGTCAGCGCAATCTCCTGAAAGTTCTTGCGAAAACGATATTTTGCCGAAAGCCGTAATTCATTCGAGTACTTAGTTTTTTTTTTTTTTAAGGCGCCGGCCGATTGTGACCGCATAGCCGCGCAGCATTGAACGATACGCCCCAAAGCGAACATTGCAAATAAAGATGTAAGGCAAATAAAATAAAATAAAATATATAAACGTGTAGAGATGCACGAGTGTGTGGGACCGGTGAAGAGCGGGACGCAGCGCGGCCGCGGCGCACGCGCCTCTTTGCGAGTCGATAATGCACCATCGAGGCGTCCACCAACACCGATCCACATCGGTGATCCCGATTCAGGCAGCCCGAAGTCACTGCAAACGCGATGGGATGCCTAGCGGCCACCACTCCATGCGTTTCGTTCGCGTTTTATCTTTTCCTGCCTACCTCGGATGAGATAATGTTCTATTTCGGCAGATATTCATGCGGGCGCGCGCGCGCTAGCGCGTTCGATACATCGACACGAGCGTTTCGGAGGTCTCTCGATTTATTGGACCTCGACGGTACGACCGCTCTGCCTTCACGTCGCTGAAACTCGGGAGCGTTTCGTTTGAAAACGTCGGCAGAATCTTCTGAACACTCGTGAAAAACGCGCACCAGACGGCAGTACTTCCGTAGTTCTGTAGTATCTTCAAGCTTGTGAGCGGATCTAAGCGCGAATTTTTCCTCGCGGAATTTCGGTCCGCCATACACATACACACACACACGACGGTGACCTACAACACCAGATTTCTCCGGATGCAGACGATCCTTCCTCTCGCTGCGGGGATTCAATTTGATTTACCTACTTTTGTGCACGTGCGTATGGGCTCGAAGTTACTCGCGCGGATCGTTACCACGGGATGTTATCTCGAGAACCTGTCGTATGTAGCGGACATGGATTACTATATTTCGTTGGAAGAGTTCACGAGATACCATTTATAATGCAGTGGAATCGAGCTCCGCTAAGTTCTTTGGACGATTGCACTTCTCAACTCGATGCTGCCCCGACGGCGTAACGACGATCGTTTGCCTAATCGTCTCGGATATTCCTACGTGTAGAATCGAAATATTTCCCTGCAGATGTTACTAATATCGCAGTTACTAATATTTCAGTTTTATTTTTATTTTATACTTGGTTTTTTTAAATCTACTGACTTTTTTATTAAATCTATGTTATACACTGGGAAAAAAGAATATCTAAGGGATAGTAAATATTTCTTTGGTGGGGGGATACTAATGACATGTATTTACCTAAATCTAAATTTTTCTATTCTAAATATAGAATAAGTAATTTCTCTCACGAGAAGCCAAGGTTTTCTTAAGGTCTCGAGAAAACATGTATTTTCTTATTTGGAAAATACTTTGTGTCGATGTATGCAAGTAAATATATGTTTTTAGTACACCTACCAAATATAAATATTTACTGTTTCCTCGATATTTTTCCTCTCAGTGTACGAGAGTTTATGTAGCAATAATGTAAAGAAGTTTTACAAGTTTCTTGTATTTTGTTTAGGGTTGATAATAGGAATGCTACCCTATTATCAACGTCCCTCGCGACGAGACCGGTACGTGCACTGGTGCGCTACGCAGGAAGAAGGAAGAACATCGATATCCAGCGATGCAAGGTGCGTATAACTGTTGCTATCGCTGGACCGCTAGGAGAATGCGCGCATGCGAAAGAGAAGTATAGGAAGGAGCGTGGATGTAGCGTTGGAGAAAGTTAGTTCGATGATGCGAAAGATGGAGATAGCGAGGAAGACGTTGTAGACCTGTAAACGGTTCAGAGAGCAAGCGGAACGGAGTAGCAGTCGAACTCATGTTGAATTTAGTTCAAAGGGGACTGGGCTCTCTGACGCGCGCAAACAGCTCTGATATATTTCACCCCTTCATTTAGAAAATCTCTCTTCCTTAAGAACTCCAGGGTCACTGAACCTTCTCTGTAAATCGAGTTTGAAAATGATTCAACTGCCTTTCCTTCATGCAGTCTTTATACTTTAACCTTTTGAGATTAATACATTATTTAGGAGGGGATTGGCTTAATCCGTTGTAAGTGATATAAATAATGAGCTCGATTTACTCGCCAGATAACTACGTTAATGAGAAAGAGAGGGTGGGAAGAGGGAAGAAGAAAGAGTAGGTGGGAGGAAGGGAGGGAGATGAATTACCGGCCCGGCAGATTACCTTTTACTTACTTCAACCAGCGATCAAACTCCGGAAAGTCGGACGTAGGGAGGATAAAAGTTCGTGTCTGTACACAGGTCGTGTCTTGGAAGAGATTTCTAGATTACATGTTCATACAATCCATGTACAATCTTTTTATTCTATTATCTTCCTCAGAGCACGATTAAAACTAAGTAGTCTCTCATGAACTCACGTAATACAGCGTGATACGTAATATATTAATTATAACGGGAAATAGAAATGCCTCCTGTTCACAGGCGCTAAAACTATTTTCTAAAAGTCCTTTGATAAACAACTGATATGACGAAAAACAAATATTCTGAAAACGAGATATATATTTCCCTTTAATCTCATCGCGATAATCACGGTGAAATTAACGTGAAACGTTTCGATTCATCGTTTCAGTATGTATCAGAGCTTTCCTGGAACACGTATCTGATTTGAACACGTATCTGATTTGTTGTAAATAATTCGCAAGCGCGTTCCAGAGTTATTCTATTATTTTTCATGAAACTCTGTAGTAAGCCGGAACAAGTGCTGAAATTGAGTGATCACGAGATATATTATTCAGAACCGTGATTCGGTCAGAAGTGACAATGTCCCCGATCCAAATCGAGTGGGGTCCTACTTATTAGAAAAGATATTTTAGGTCGCACCTGTATCTCGCGCGAAACCGGTTGACGACGCGCGCTAACCACGAAACGCGCTTATTTTTCAGACGACGCACTAGCGAACAGTTTGGCAGTAGCGAGTCCTTTTATGGGCATCGAAGGTTGAATTTGGAGCAGGAGATCTCGTACGGAAGGGAAGAAGAAGGGATCTAGATGCTAGGTAGAGCCAGGGCGAAATAAATAAGAGAGAGAGAGAGTCGCGAGGAAGACAGACGAAAGAGCAGAGTAAGGAAAGGAAAAGACAAGGAAAAAAGGGGCGGAAGAGCGTCGGAGGAAGAAAAGAGGGATGGGCGCTGGGATGGGCAGGAGTGGCACGACCGGCGGCGGTCTGCTCGAAGCGCTTCCCACAGGAACTCCGCTCCATGTGGCTATGCTCGGCCTAGACAGCGCCGGCAAGACAACTGCCCTTTACAGACTTAAGTTCGACCAATATCTTAACACCGTGCCGACCATCGGTTTTAACTGCGAGAGGATTCGCGGCGGCATCGGGAAGGCTAAAGGTATGTTTCTGCAAGCAAAAGGCACGACACCTTTACCTCTCTTGGTTCCTGCTTGTCTCTCTCGTTTCTTATCCAAAGGTAAATAAATAAAGCAGAGAAATGCAGAGTAATCATAATCGTTATACGCGATTCTGTTGCATGGAAAGTGATCGCTCAGATGCATTATTTAGTGGGCATCATTCCGACGCACGTTACATCAACATCCTCAGCTGAGACACGGTATTTTCGGTTGACGTAGGTGTTAATTTCCTCGTGTGGGACGTTGGCGGGCAAGAGAAGTTGCGGCCGCTGTGGAAATCGTATACGAGATGCACGGACGGCATCATTTTCGTCGTTGACTCTTGCGACACTGAGAGACTCGAGGAGGCGAAAATGGAGCTCACTAGAACGGCGAGAAGTCCGGACAACGCAGGCGTACCGATCCTGATACTTGCTAACAAACAAGATTTACCTGGTGTGTATTATGGAAGAGACAACGTTGGCGTCTCAAGATTAACTGTTATTATGTAGGACAACAAGACGTGCGGGAAAGTTTCATATAGAGTCTCGATACAGAGATCTACAGATTCACTGAGTAACACATTACGTTCGCTCAATGCTCGTTAATCTAACTTTTATAACTTTTAACGTCTTTATTTGCTGAGATTGTTGTCAGCCTCTTTAATAAATATTTTTTATATTTTTATATTATCTATATTTTTCCTTTTTTTAAATTGTTTATTGAATCTTGTAAATAGTACACATGAATATCCAATGTAAAGAATGACATAGTAGGCATGATTAAACCAGCTACAATGTCACTTCAGTTCTGGATTTCTACTTGATTTCGTTAATGAAGTCCCTATCATACAGGCGCGAAGGAGGTCGGCGAGTTGGAGAAGTACTTAGGAGTGTTGGAACTGGCCGGTATGCCGGGTAGCGCCTGTATTCGCGTACAGCCGGCGTGCGCTATTACGGGCGAAGGACTCCACGAAGGTCTAGACACACTGTATCAGCTGATTCTGAAGCGACGCAAGCTGGCCAAGCTGAATCGTAAACGGGCCAGGTAGGCCAGGGCTTCGGAAGACTGCACATGCGTCTTCTGATATTGTCGATCGCGGACAGCTTCCCCTACGGCGACGCTCTCCACAACTTCCTCCTTACCTTCCCGCACTGATTATGAGGAGGAGGAGATGGCACAGTGACTGTGAACGAAGCAGTCACAGTGTGATCACGAGGGCGTGATCACATTATAAGGTGCGACCATTTTGCGCAATCATTTTCTTTCAGCTTTGATTCTCCTGACGGGAGAATCAATGCTGTTGGAACAATTTAATGGTTGCATCGATCTTTTTTGCATGTGTGTTTGGAAATATATATGCGTGTGCCTGTGCGTTGCGTGTGTACATATAAATACACGTTGATTGTAAAATTGCGCGGAGTGTAAGGAGAGATTAAAAAAAAAACGGAGGGGTTTTAATGACTATTGTTCCTATTAGGTTGTTGCATATAAGATGCCCATGTTCTTTTTATGTTTTGCAAAAAGTTAAAAGATTATTGACATTTAAGTATATTGATGTCGATCGTTACTTGAAATATTTTAATCGAGAGATACTATTTTCATGTGGATATTTATTCGATTTATTGCGTAGGAACGAGAGGTGAATGTTGGGAATGATATTTTCAAGTAGTTTAACATTTATATAAATTCATATGAGGACGTAGTAATTCGTCATTTTATCAGTGATTGGGTATAACTTAGGTTTAAAATAACATATCGTCTGTCGTTCTAGCGAATGATTTTGAAAGAGGAATGAACGGGATCCACTCTGGCGCTAAGTTTAAATTATTTTGTATGCAACAATGTAATGATCAGAGTAATCATAAAATCGTTATAAAACGTGTGACAATGCTAGTCGACTGAGGAATTTTCTATCGCCGGAGAAGAGTCGATGCGAAAGTGGTGTAAATGTAAGTAAATACTTGTAAATAAACGGAGAAAGCTGTAATTTCACGCCGAGACAAATTTAGGAGGTGTAAAGATACATTAACACGAGCAACGAAGTGGGTCAACGTTGTAAAATCTGTGACAATATATATATGTATGTATTGTCATGAATTACCTGCCGATATTAGCAAGATGCTATCGCCATTAATAACGTTATAATTATGATGGTCGCTGTAACAGTCAATAGCTGTCATATTTTCCACACGAGAAGCGATATGAATGTAGCACAGCGGTATATTTTATTTACACGTGCGAGATCGCTTTAATTAATCACTGCTTGTTTTGTAAAGTTAACGTTTCCGTGTAAATCTCGTTACGTATGAAAGTATATAGATATTTACTGTTGCTAGGTAGAAAGAGGAAGAAGGAAGAAAGAGAAAGAAATTTGAAAAGTGAGAGGAGTAAAGATAAATTCGGTACAGTGTAAGACTCCATACGATTGCAATTTAGTGAATTTAATTTTGTTCCCCCGTAGTAGAATTAATTCAATAATAGTAATCGTAGTACGTCAGTGTTTGCGATTAATCCAATTTGCCTTGCACTTCTGAATCCGTCACAATATATTTCTAGAAGAAACATAAACCTTTCGAGTACTCATCGTTCCCTGCTACTCATTGATGATTATTTAGTATCAGTAAATTATATCGCAATTCTCGACAAATAATCGTCGCATCTCTAGTGAAATATTCTATAAAAAAATGTTGCTCGTGTGTGTGTGTGTGTGTGTGTGTGTGTGTGTGTGTGTGTGTGTACACGTGGTGCGTGTGAGTGCTTGATGCGTTCGTGAGTATATGTAAAGCTGCTCAAAGGTGGAGCGTGTATCACGACCTTCTTGAAGAGTTTGTACCGAAGGAGTTGAAGCGGCGCTTTGTAGCCAACGAAATCGCTGTCAAGCATGGTTGTTGTTTTTATATCAACTGTCGTTCCAAATTCTATTGTATACTATACTTGCCCCTTGTTGTGTTTTATTATCTTTGGATATTTTATCTTGTGCTTCGATCGATCGTTAGATCGTCTATTTATGTATACATACTATTAATAGTGATAGTCTAAGTAATCCATGACGCGTAGTGCGTTAGACTGATACGATCCTTTCGGATATACACGCAGGAATTTTCAAATAAATCCGCTGATTCCGTTACATTTTCAACTGTGACACGTTCATTCGCCTATCTCTCCGTTCGATCCGAGAATGCCTCCTCGTCCATCAACGTCGTTGATTCGACTTGGACATCGATATCTTTGCTTTGGAACGTAAGATCGAGATTGTCCGGTAACTTGGGACGATACGCTCGCGACTTGTCACACTTGCAGAAATCGGTGAAGAATGCGAGATGTCGCGTTTCCTGAGTCGTCGGTTGCGGCGGAGGTGATGATAACTTTACTTTAGTTGCGATAGGCGTCGAGCGTCGGACTAACAGTCGTTTTTTCGCCTTGGGTGGTAGCATAATGCGCTTCAACATGCTCAACAGCCGGCGCATCAGCTCGAACTAGTCAATAAACATTGTGATATAGAGAAATAGCAGATCCGTAGTAATATGTGTAAATAATTGCAAGATGCGCAAGCATTGTACTATAGGTCGTGCAATTTTTACAAAGCTTCTTACCATAAGGACTGACATAGGATACATTTTATGAAGAAATTCTACCTTCTTCGCTGCGTCTTCCGCCTCCTTTGTAGCTCTCATCTCTTGCTTGAAGCCTTCCTTCTCGCAAGCGCGAACAATTCGACGCGGTAGATTGTCCAGTTGAAGATTAAGTTGCTCGTGGGTCCTTTCTACCCACTTCATCATCGAAAAACTGTCGAGATTCGCATCATTCGGCCCCACGCAGGTCTCATACGCATCCTCCACGAAAACGCGAAGATACAGCACCTCTTCAGAGCAAACGAGACTTCGGAAAACGCCCCGGAGAAGATAATCGGCGTATTTCTCAAGATTCGCCGCTCTATCTTCCGCCTCGGCGATGTGATTCTATCGATACGACATTACTGCTTGTAGGAGTGATCGTTAATGCTGGAGAGTAAGGAAACGGGCGGATGAAAGAGAGGGAAAATGGAAACGTCTTTTGTGTGCGTTCAATAGTGTATAAAAAAACTTAACGTACTTTCAAGTCGTCGATCGTCGAGGAGATCTCGCTGACCTCCTGCTTGATGCGCGCTTCAGTCACGGCGATAGTCATAGTTACATCCTCCATCGGGGCGGCGAGTGATTCTAGGTGTATGAGCGCGTTTAAATTTTGCGTTTCCATCGCTCGGAAAACCTGAACGAGTTCGAAAGGATCCTCGAAATAGAGCTCGGCAGGACCGGCTTCGACGATGTCTCGCTCAAATAACTCTAGCACGGAAAGATTATGTTAGTGCTTCTGCAAATTGTCTTTGAAAATTATCGAGATCCAAGAAAACTCTGTAGAAGAGCGCGTCGGAAATCGTGGTACAATCGAAAAGGAGACGATCCTTCGGACAATAAGAGATTCTTTTTTCTTCTTCGGTTGTGCTAAGAACGATTCCAATTTTGTGTGTGTGTGTGTGTGTGTGTGTGCACGCGCGCGTGTGTGTGTATAATCTGTATTATCCTAACGTTTGACGTTAAACGTCTCGTTACGCGAATCACCTATCAAGTCCTCCAAAGAGGCGTCGTCATCTGGTGTCCCGTATCTATTGAACAAGTCCCCGTCGTTAACAGAAATGAGGCTGCCCGTTTCGAGACGGTGCAGCCAGTCGTGCTTGATCCTCCAAGTAGTAGGTGACAACCGATAGAGGAACAGCTGACACATCTTCACCATTCTCCAGTTTTCCTCCCAGAAGTAAATATCCAGTCTGATCTGGCCATATTGCTTTGCCAGCTCGTTCCTACGTATGCAGATCTCGTTCGTCAGCTTCGCCTCCCGTTCTGCTCTCTCCAATATGCTCATACTTTTCTTGTGATCTCTCGACAAAAACTCCTCGAAGCTGCTCACGTATCGCTGATGACGTTCCTATTTGCAGCGAGAAGAAAAGTCCATTTGTGTCGGAATTACATTCTCATTCCTCACTGGTCATTCATACAAGACAGCTCTGCGTATGCGTGCGAATATTAACCACTTAATGCACAAGTTTATTTTGAATTATTGGTCAATTAAGGAGGATTAATTTTTATTTTTCAGCGACATAAAGACAAGTACATAAATATATACGAATAAGTCAACCGTGTAGAAGTCGAGCAAATACAATTTGTCGAGTAAGTATTACAGTCGCTCGTATGGAACACGGGCGCGTGCAAAATAGCCAGTAAGGAACGCCCGTGTCAGAGACTGGTATGTGCATTAAGTGGTTAAAAGGATAATATTTTAAATCGACTTTGAGGAATTCGCTGAGAACTTCTCTCAGCAGGATGTTATTCTACAAAGCTCTATCAGATGCGCATTTTTTTCACAAAAAAAACAATGATTAGTTTCAACGGGGTTCTTCGGAAGAATTGGTGGCGTGAATGGAGCAACTTATACTTGGATCTTTTGTAACTGAGAAAACTCCTGCTCGAACTGCTGATCAATGCGAATACAATCGTCCTTTTCTTGGCCAATGAGCAGTCTTGTTTTCAGAACAATACGTGTGTCTAACACATATTGTTCCAGTGAAAACTTCTCTTTTGCAGGTCTGCCAGACAATTCTGTAAAATACTCCGGATCCACGTCTGTCATGGCAATAGTCTTGTGCGGATCTATATATCCCTTTGTCATCTCTGACTTTATCTCTGCGATTACCTGCACATAATTTATGGGAAATATTTCTAACGGATCTTCCAGGCGTTATTCGACAGATTTCACTAATATGAAAAAGAAAGCATATTATTTTCCTACTTTTTTTTTCAACAATTTAATTGGATACGACTTACATGTAGTCTCTGTGCAGTCTTATCTTTCTGCCGACTTTTCTGGGACACCTTGCGCTCGCATATTGCTCTTTTTTTCCGCATCTTCCACCATTGAAGATAGGATAAGGTCTGTGAGCAGGAAGGAAAAAAGAAAGGCGATTGTTCTTTTCTCAAGTCTTTTCCTTCATCCAAACGTTCACGAATCCGGTGATGCTGCATTCTATTGTGTTTTATCAAAATATTTATATAATTTTTATCTTTTTTCCTTTTAGAGAAAGAGAAAGAGAGAATATATTCCAAACAAACACTCATTTAACTTCAAATAGTATAAGAATAAGGAAATTAACCTTGGAAAATTCTTACGGTGAGAAATATTATTGCTGAAAGTCGATCCAGTCCTGACGCCTCGCGATGGAGAAATTTTTTCTTCGATCCTGCGTTTCTTCGAAAAATTCATTTTTCGCGTTTTCTCATTAATCCGTGATGGAAAATATTATGAATTCGTAATAATTGCAAGAGACTTACGATACGATCTAGTTTGTTTGACATGCGCCCTGCGCATCTCTGTATATCGTACTACATTCAATGAGTTTTATATACGATTTCTAGTATAGAGTGTCCCACTTAGGATGTAATGAGGTTCTTTCTCATCAAATATATCCGCTTCTCTCGTTGATCTTATCTTAATACTTTAATTTTATATTTTTTGAGAAAGAGATAAGAGCGTTGTTGTTTCCATTGTTTGCACACAGGTGTACCAATGCAATTGTACTTTTTTTTTTCAAACGCAGCTACGTATCTTTGACATTAATCGTGGGACATTCTATACAATTTCATTGACAGAAAAATGCGTATAATTTTTTAGGCATGTATATTATACAGATAAACATAATTAAATAATATAAATTATTTATATTTGTACATACTGTATTTTTGATTGTACAATTATAGTATATTGGATATTTCAATAATATGTAATGTCTACGTAACCAACTACTTTCGAAGTACATGTAATTACAAATGAGTCAAGCAACGCTTTTACATTCTTCAGCCTTGCACGTAACCAAATGAGGGCTTAAGCAATAATTAAGACAGAAACAAAAAATAGGAATGAGAGAGAGACAGAGAGAGAGAAAGAGAATAGGGAGAATGTTACTTGCTTTGTGAAACATTATCCCTTTAAATGTAAAAAAAGAGAGCAGACTGAAAATTCATGAATGAATAAACTGAGGAAAGAATTTAAATTAACAAAAAATATGATGCGCCTTTTTGATGAATAAACTAGAATATTGGCAAGCGTACAATAGTAAGAAAAGATAGATATAAAATAACGGTTTCTTCAATAACGAAAAAAAAGGTCAGGATTTCCCAGACATGAAAGCGAGCGATATATTCATATTTTTATATCGATCGATCGCTTTAACGTCGAAGTGTACGTAGTTACAATCTCCTTGGGGCAGTCGAATCCTCATTTCCCCTCCTAACCGTAACTGATGGTGTAACCCATAGACAACATCAGCGTCTCTTTTATCGCCGGATGTAACTGGCGCTCGATGTACTTAGTTAACGCTTGGCTAGCACCTTGCAGAAACACATCTTCCATTTCGCGCGTGATATGCTCCTTCGACTGCCAACTTCTGCTCGGGTCTGCCGAATCTATGGGGAATAAATTCTCGAAATTGTCGTCCAACACGAGTTCCCTTACTTCCCGCGATACGTTTCGCGATGGGTCTTCGTTCTGTAGGCTGTCGGTTAAATTAAGCAGCTCGACGAAGTACGCGGACTTGTTCTTCGTCGACGCTTTCTCTTCATCGCGCTCAGTGACGAGGGAATGCGCAATAAAGTCTCGCGGTGCAACGACCATCGTATGGGCAGCGCGCGCGAGTCGTTGCCGAATCACTGACCGTCTCCGGCGTAACGGTGATTTGGTAATCCAAGAATTTTTTCTCCATACACCGAAATTTGCTTTAGGAGTGCGCGAATAATGCGGATGTCGGCTCTCGTTAGGCACGACGACGTCCACCTCTTCGGTGATGCCCACCAGCTGTCTTGGTTCTGCCGCATCATACTTGTCGCTCACAGCCAGTGGCGGCGTCGGCGGTGTTATCTACACATTTAGGAAAAAGAATACACAGAAAGAAAAAATTAATAAAACAAATATATTCAAATCAAGAATCATCGTTTCATATACAGTGAATGTCTGACGATAGTATAAAATCTCTCTCGCATGTGTAGATATTTAAATCAAAATTTAACAAAAAATTTCTCTGCCATTTTACAAGCAGCTACGTGTCATTTTGAGTCATTAATTAAAGAAAATTGGTGAGTAATTATACGTGATCGTTTGCCAATATTTTTTTAATTAATAAAAATCTAATTATTCGCAAAATGGGAGTAAAGCATTCTCTGTCTAGTTTGACATAAATCCACAACGTAAATCGCACTTACCGTCACATAGCGCGCGTTTACATCAGATTACATCTAACATGCGAAATGGACAGTTCCAATCCATGTGCTATGGTCTGATCTTTACTTTTTGAGTCATGAACTGATCTAGCCGACTTTTGTTATTATATGAAATATGAGCTTACTTTGTCCCTGCTTGAATGATACGGAGGCCACTTGTCCTGTCGCTTGATCTGCTTGTCGAGACGCGTGGGGCGACAACCGTACGCGTAAATCGAGGCGAACCGCGGCTCTAGGAAGCTCGATTCCGTGCGTATGCGCATCTGGCCGCGTCCGCGCGCGATCGGACTCGTGAGGAAGTCTATTCCCGCGCGTCTCAGTCGCAGCATCATTTTGCAAGACTCGGCGGGGACCGGGGTACGATGGTCTCGCGGCATTAGCGACACCATTCCGGACACCGACAGGTCGTTAAATACGACGCGCGTCCTCAGGGAATTGCGCTCGGGCTCAAACACGCATCGTTCCACTCGCGCCCAATGGCTCGCGGGCTCCTTCGTATTCTCGGGCAACTGCGAAAAGTCACCCCCCAAGTCACCTACGTCATCCGCATTATTCGTTTCGTCTGAATTAATTACATGTCTGATTGGTGTTCAAGGACATTGAAATGTTACCTTCACAGCCATACGGGAGACGGACATTTCCAGGGGTGCGGAATGTAGCTCACGCTGATACGATATCCCGGTCTCCTCTTCATCCAGCTTGTTTCTCCTGGTAGAATCTCGGTGGAGGGCGTCCAGAGCGTGCTCCAGTCTGCCGCTGCACGCATCCCAATTGCTGATACCGGCATACGCGAGACCAATCGGCAGGAAGATCAACGACCATATCGCCGGCTGTCTGAACTGCATCACCTGCGTTGCAAAAGTCACGATTTCATTTACTCGCGCGAGACGAGAAGAAAATTTGGCAGTGAACGAGGAGCGTTAAACCTCCGTGCAGGGGAGGGAATTCCGTACAACCGATCGTTAATGATGCAAGAACGATCGAGGCGGGAAACGAAAGAATCTGCGCAACGACGAGCGCGTTAATGTCGCGTTGGCTCTTGATCGTTCAACGAGACAATATTTTTAATTAGCAGCACGCAATAAAACTTTGCACTCGGTGTGAGACGCGACGGGCGTTTACGCCTATGCCCTGCCATTAAAATATCTCCCAGGGCATATCCTGTAGAAACTCGGTGAATTCAGGCGGCTGAAACAGAGCATGAAAGCGTCTCCATTCCGCCTGTTGTCAGCGCCGATCGGATTGTGTGAAACTAGGAAGTAGGATTTCTTTTCGGCTGCTCATTAACGTTAATTGTAGTATAGCGAAGCGATACAAATCTGTAAGCTTAATAACGTCGTTGTTAGCGCGGCGCAATTTCGCGGAACAATAATGACGGAAGATCAAACTTTCGACGGAATTCAATTAACGGGAGAATATTATCGATCTAATCGCAAATATTTCTAACTGATAATGTTTACATACATACAACTGAATACTGCTCAGTCTATTGAAAAATCCGGTAATGCAGGTAGATTCAACGTCCTCTTTTTCTAACTTATCGATGGCTCATCTTGCGGCATTAATGCGCGCAACGACGAACCCTGTACGTCGCGTATCGTCGGTAGTATTTACAATTCGCACGGACAAGCCAAATTGCGCGAGATGCTGTGGCGAAATTGCATTATTCCCTTTTGTATGCTAATGGGGAATCCCGACTCCATTTATCCCGCCGGTGTTCTCGCGCTCCGTTAATCATTTTGGCCGTGCTCAACAGACATTTGCGCAACGGTCGAGCAAATCTTCCTTGGCGCCTTTCTTTCTTTTATCTACTCATGTGATATGTCGGATTTACACGTTTGTAAAATATCGTATCGCACGCAGATCGTCTCTTACTAATGCATCGCGTAATATTTCGCGCGGTTTAAATTCTTTTCTTGATATCGCGCGTATTCCTTTTTCTCTGTGGGCATATTTGAATTTATATTGCGTTATATTCATATCATGAACGGATTTTCCGAGTTGCAAAATTCGTTAATTGTAATTAATAATGCTCACTTACACTTGTTCGCGCGGAATAGTTAAATTGTTCTTGTCTTTCGAAGGTGACGGCGATGACGACGTTGACAACGGCGACAGCGACGTCGACAGGTACGCCAAATCGGTGCTCGTGGTGAGGTGCGCGAGATCGCACTCGCACCTTTGCTCCGAGGCAGATCGAAGAACAATGAAAGTGGTCGCTGCCACTCGCACCGCTCAGACACGCACCGCGGCGATACGAGCCATTCTTTTTTCTTCACAAGCGTTGCGTGCAGCTACCACGCGGTGAGAGAGAGATATATGAGGTAAAAGGTAAGACGGACCTCACCTGGCGCTTTGCAGAATCTAGGACAGGCTATTGTGACTGGATTGTAATCAACGGAAGTGAGCATAACGCAAGTAAGCTTTTCTAGCAAGCTCTGACACATAGGCCAGTGTAATAAGTGTTCTCTGAATTTTGTGGTATTTACTTCCATCAATAAAGGATAAACAAAAGTCTCAGGATATTCAAGAAATGAGCTCTACTTGATGTTTGCCATCAGCTGCTGTGTTATACAATGCAGTTTTATTCTGATGCAAATTGAGGAATGTTCTTTTTTTCATAATTTAGCAATAATCTTTCTGCATGTATAATGCATATGTAATATATGTATTTTATAAAAGAATAAGATGTTAATTAATATTTACCACACAGTATGCAATGTAGTATCTTTTCATGTGAAACTTCCATTGCTTGGATCAGATAGATCTTTTGATGAAATCTTTTTTCTTCACAGCTTGACTCAATCCTTTCAATGGAAAGAACTTAGACCTGGTTCCACAACCTATTTTAACCAAAGTTCAACTCTTTAAAAACCTATCTGAACAAACTTGCATATTTACATTATTCATATGCACAAGGAAATTTATTAATCTAATATAAAGTGTGTCTAAGAGGAATTTTTTTACTACATTGACTATGATCGATTGATTGATTTCCTTATGCATATATAATATATGCTTATGCAAGTTATGAAGAACAGATTTTTAACGAGTTAAACTCCAGTTAAAGTAAATTGTGTGTGGAATCAGGCCTTATTATTCACCAAGCAAAGCAACATTGTTTTCTTGATATTTTTGTATAAGTCCATTCTTGAGAATCTAAAATATGTAAATTAATCAGAAACATTCGCACATATACTTTACACAGAAGAAGAAAACATTCATGTTACTTCTGTTCCTCCTCATCCCTCCTCTTTGTCTTCCTCATATAACTACTGACAGTAGCTAGAAGGCAAGTTCGTCTTGCACGTTTTCGTATTGAAAGCATCATTCTATTTTCCTTTAACATATAACAAACAACAAGGATAAAATGATGTTTTCAACACAAAAGCATACAAGACAAACTTAATTGAGGCCATCAATTTGAGCGAATGACGTCGATTACTCGTACAAAAGTTATAACGAAAGTTATAATTACTCTACACATCGTATATCCGCGCATACCAAAGTAAATACATATGTAGGAAAGTTAAACGCATTTGCACGCACACACACATATGAAATTGTGCGGAACCACTGAATGAGTTTGTCGCGTTTATCTTATATATCTATATGAAAAATTTATAATAACATTTATCTCTTTGAACTCGATATCGAAATATGGAGCTTCGCGAATTCTTAAATTTGGCTTACAATTAGATGAGTTTCGATATCACTTAGGTTTATTTAAAGACTCGCAAACTTGAATGCATCGGCGGGAGAGGGCTTGTGTCCCGTTTTCAGATTCGACGCGTTTGATTGGTTACAGAGTAACCACTTTATAACAGTTACTAGGGCTGCGTTCCGAAATTCACTGCCAGTACTGAAAATCTATAGTTTATGTCACATATACTATAGAATTTCAGCACTGGCAGTGAATTTCGGAACGCAACCTAGATCTAGATGTAGAAGTATGAAACCTAGATCCAGGTGTAGAAGTATGAAACCGGAATTTTTTTATACAAATAAGACGTCTGTTGTTCGAAAGTGATAAATAATACTTTATTCAAAATAATTTCCACTGTTTTGAACACATTTTTCCCACCTCTCTGGCAGTTTATGAATGCCGTGCCAAAAAAACTTTTCATCTTTTGAAGCGAACCAGTTATCTAGCCATTTTTCCACATTTTCATACGAATCGAAGCGTTGGTTAGCGAGAGCGTGTCCTAGCGATGCGAACAGGTGATAATCGGACGGAGCCAAGTCTGGAGAATAAGCCGCATGCGGTAGTAATTCCCAACTGAACGACTCGATCGTTTCCTTGACCCGTTTTGCTGTATGTGATGGGGCATTATCATGGAGCAAAATGACATTGTGTTGCCTTTTTGCATATTCTGGTCGTTTTTTAGTCAATGTTCGATTTAAATCGATCATTTGTTGTTGGTAGCGATTAGTATTGACGGTTTGACCAGGTTTCAGCAGTTCATAGTTCATAGTTCATAGTTCATAGTTCTTCGTTCCTCACGTCAAAATCACCACTTTTGAATTTTTTAAACCACTCGAAACACTGAGATTTACCAAGAGCATATTCACCGTAAGCTTCGACAAGCATTCGATGTGATTCTGCAGCAGTTTTCTTTAAATGATAACAGAAAATCAATGCTGTCCGCAAATCATAGTTAGTAGGCTCGAAACGTGACATGTTTAAGGTTATACAAAAATATACTAGAGAATGAAAGTTGGGGTTATGTTTGTTGACAATATTCGTCAGCTGTTAGGAGAATATAATAGCGCGGCAGTAGCGGTCTTACGGTCACTAAACTGAACGCTGGCACCATCTATAGGGGAATTCCGGTTTCATACTTCTACACCTGGTAGGATCGCTAGAAATTTTCGTGCGCACGTCGCGCTCGTCGAGCCCCTGTTCTCTTAAGACTGGTTTATGATAACTTATGCCAGAATCATAAAAAATTGACCAATCATAGTCGAATTATAGAAGAATAATTAACTGTGATTGGTCAATTTTTTACGGTTTCGGCATAAGTTAACGGATTTCGGCCATCATAAACCAACCTTTAGGCTAATATTACATTTGTCGTATGATAAGTTTTCGAATATGTTGATCGGTTGACGAACAGGGAACTTAGAAATACTTTATTCGCCAATGAACGTATTCGAAAATCTTGTCGTACGACAAATGTAATATTAGCCTTATGGAGGATTCACACCGCATCGATGTCCGACGTAGACGTCCGATATCCAATAGGAGAACAGCTTTCCAATGGAGAATTGAATTCTCTATTAGAAAGCTATTCTTTTATTGGATATCGGACGTCGTACGTCGGAAATCGGACGCGGTGTGAATCCTGCATTAGGCCGGAATTCATAAGCTGCATTCGGAGAGACTCTATTTGGTGCTAAAAACGTGTTCTGTCCTTATTCAACTTTCAGTAAATAACAAGAACAAAACACTTTTAGCGTCTCTCTGAACGCAGCTATGTCAGATTTTATATTTAAGACCGTTTTAAGTTCATCTCAGATACTATATGGATTATTTAATTGGCTACGGAGTATCTGGAGATAAATTTAAGGCGGTCTTAAATATAAGATCCGACTATAGTTGCGTTCGGCAATAGTTGCTATTTGGCGCTGTGAACGTGTTCTGTCCTTGTTAAGGCCGATTTATGATAGCCGTTATGTTGTAATTCATAAGATATTGACCAATTGCAGTCATTGGTTGCGTTCAGCAGAGAAAGCTGCTTTGCAACTGTTATAAAATTCGTGAATCTGATTGGAGTATGCTCTTAATTTTGGTTGAATCCAAGAGCATGTACCACTCAGATTCACGAATTTTACAACAGTTGCAAAGCAGCTTTCTCTGCTGAACGCAACCAATTATTACAAGAATAGTCAACTGCGATTGGTCCATTTCTTATGGATTACAACATAAGTTAACGGTTACGGTTATCATAAATTGGCCTTTACTGGGCTGCGTTCCAAAACTCTACTCGACGGGTAGAGTAGCATTGGGTGGGACTCGATTGACCACGATACGATTGGACACAGATTGTAATGATTGGTTCGATCTAATATTTCACTAGATAATTCTTTTCATCGGTTGGTTGTGTCTAATCGTACCGTGGTCAATCGGGACGCTCCCGTAGCATTTAATTGATCAATAAGAACAAAAATAATTAGGATTTCTTTATCATAATTGATCAATTAAGATTGCTTTCCAACAAGAGACATAACCCAGACAGCACAAGAACTTCTGAGAACGTTCCAGGGATATTCTGAGGATATTGGGACGTTCTCAGAACGTACTCAGGACGTTCCCTGGATATCTGTGCTGTTAGCGAAGTCGATACAAGTATCATTCTATCTTTGTTACTCACTAAATATGGAACAAAGATAGAATTATATTTGTGTCGACTTGTGTCTCTTGTTGAAAAGCAACCTAAATGTACTCTACCTATCGAGTAGGACTGCGTTCGGAAACACACACTGGCTGCGTTCGTTTTGGGCGCTTACGCGCTGTAAGAGTCATTCTATTTTTATCGCTCATTACATGCGGGAAGAAGATAGAATGACGCTTACAGCGCATAAGCGCCCAAAGCGAACGCAACCATTATGTGCACACTACTAGACGATAGCCGTTGGAATGAGCGAAATACAAGAGTGAGATAAAAAGAGAGGGAGAGTACTCGAGTGACGTTTTCGAACGCAGCTTAGAATTTTGGAACGCAGCCCTGAAAGGCTGCGTTCAGATTCCTTACCCGGGTGCACTCTAATACAAGAAGTGCTATAGTATATGTGACATATACTATAGTGTTTCTAGTAACAGAGTGCACCCGGGTAAGGAATCTGAACGCACCCAAAGTTGAACAAGGATAGAACACGCTTTTAGCGCCAAATAGCATCTCCCTTGGAACGCAGATTATGAATACCGGCCCTAGTGTCGATTTGGTTCACGGCGCTCCCGCGCCGATCTAAGCGCTCGGATCGCTACCGTGCGTGGTGCCGTTATTATGACGGATCCGTGCCCGCGCGTCGCTGTATATCATATGTGTCCGGCGAGTCGTGTGGCAGCCCTCTCGCGCTAGCCGAACATCTCGTCGAGTAATGGCGCTAATGCCAGAACGTCAAGGTGTGATCCGGCAGACAACCATGACAAGATGGTAACACGCTGTGGTGCACCGGGAAGCGATACGTTTCCGCATACGTGAGCTACGACCGGGGCGGGACGGGCGGAACGGGGAAGTTTGGGCTACGATGAGTACTGACAGTCATGATAAGACGAAATCCTGCAAAATACCCGTCAGGAACGAGGAGGAGAACGCGTTCGATGGCAAGCGGATTAAAAAGGAGTACAATGACATTTGCGTGGAGAATGGCGACACCGCCTCCACCACCGCCTCGGCCACAGTCGCCACCGTTGTCGCTGCCACTGCCGTCGGCGAGAAGCAACAGCAGTCTTTGCTGCCGTCGCCACCACCACCACCACCACCGCCGCCGCCGCCGCCGCCGTCGACGGTGCCGGCCGGCAGATCCGTCTCGAATGGTTTTCATAGAAATAATAGTCGGCTGCAAGAAGTATTATCTACGAAATTCGCAATGCTAACCAACTATAGCACTCCCAAGCAGGACAAGTTTCGGGCTATGATAGAGGAGGGCATCAGGTTAAGTTGATCTTCATTCCAGATAGAATTTGTCCCTTTTTTCATTTTGGTATTGCACATTGGGTTCTCATTGGGTATCTGCATTTTGTGTTAAATATAGAGTACAACTTTTTTTAGAAGTTAATGCTTCCTTACCTAAACTACTTTGAAATATCTATATGTAAGTTACATCATTGCTGTATCACTGAAGTATTCTTATAATTTTCAATTGATATGTTTATCTGCTAAAATTTTATTTATTTGAGATTTTTTTTCGTTCTACTTCAGTTATAGTTATTTGTTATTTCATATCTCATCTTATTTTTAATATCTTTTAATAAAATAATATTCAAGTTTCTATGCAACATATGCAATATTATGCATTTTTCTATGCAATAAAATATTAGACAGTGTCAAAAGATTCTATGTTGATTCATATTATATTATTATTATATCTTAAAGAAACACTTAAAGAAACACATATTATACTTAAAGAAACACTCACAATACTGTATGATATTTATGATATTCATTCGTACTTGTAGAATATTTTAAACATACTCGATATATTTTTGGTTGATTTGATTAGTAATACAACTTGATCAATTGTTTCATGATTTACTCGTATGTCCATATATTAATGAAATTTTATATCAAATATCTCTGTACTTTCTCATAGTATCAAATTATTATCCTTGAATAATTGATAAATGCTATCCCTTCTATAATGATAGAATTTAGTAATATAGGAGAGTTATTTTAATTATAGCGAAGTAGCCAAGGTGCATGTGCAGGAGATTATCGGACAGGTGGAACGACTTAAGATAGAGGAACAGTTATTATTGTACCTGAAACTTCCATTATTATTGACAAATTCAAGTGGAGTCATTGATCCACTGAGGCAGCCATTAAATCCATTAGGGAATCGTTATGAAATTCATCAGACCATTATGTGGATCAAGACACATCTAGAAGAAGACCCAGATGTCTCCTTGCCAAAGCAGGAAGTTTACGATGAGTACACGTAAGTTAACTGTTATACATACTCTACACTTAAGATCAAGTGTGTTTTTATTAGTATATTCTTATAGCTAATCTAAAGGCAATTTTAATTTAAATAAAAGAAAGTAAGATATATATATATATATATATATATATATAT